GGAATTCTAAAATTAAATACTCGAAAAATAATTAATTGAGAATTAATTATTATTTAAATAATGTGATTATTTAAATTTGAATTTGAATTGTAAACATAATTTAAATTTATCCATTCAAACTTATTTGATAAGTTGTTCAATTTAGAATTCAAATTAATTTAAGTTTGACTTAAATTCGAATTTGAAACTGAATTAAAATTGGAATACTGGATAAAGGATAAAATCTCTTCCTTCCCTATCTGCTATTGGCGCCATACACAGGGAAAAACCCTAGTGATATGGCCGGTCACCTTGGAGATAAGGGGAAGGGATTTTCTGTTCTAAATTCAAAATTGGAGATAGGGATTTGATTTTGTTTTGAAGTTTGACTTCTACTCTTTAAATATGAGAATGATAGAAAATTGTGAAGACAATTTTTGAAACATTTTTTCTGCCCTAAATTGTTTGGTGGCCGAAATTCATAGAAGAAAAAAAAGAGCAAATATTTTTCTCTAAAAAATTCCACATCGTGCATGCGTTGGTGTTTGTGAAAATTCGAGTGTTTCAGAAACCTGTTTTGTCTCACGTGTGCCCACACACACGTCTACGTAGAATCAAGGAATTGACGTGGAAGACTTTGGTTTTCTAAACACAAAGATTGGAGCAAGGACTGTTCGTGGACAAAGAACTCAAGTTATCATCCGAGTCGGCTTCTAGATATTTTTCCAGATTGAGTTCTTGATATATAAATTAATGCGATTAATTTATTCGTGCATAAATTAATATAATCTATAGAGTATCTCAAAAGTTTTATGAAATTTTTGTTATACACGATCCGCCTCTCCGCCACGCTTCCGCACCCGAATTCGATTCGGGAACCAGCAAGCATTACCAAGAGGTGAAGGAGATGACGTGGAGTTAAAAATACAGCCGGAGCACTGGTAATGAACCAGCCTTAGAAAAGTCAAACTTCTTATCCATTCTTTCTAATATACATATAGATACTCATTTGTACGGGGATATCACGTGTAATGAAAAACATAAGGATTCTTCTGATTTTAGAGAGAGAGAGTACGTGTAACAGAAAGGGGGCCTTAGAGAGAGAAACATGTGATAGAGTGAGAGGGATTTTTCTTACTTAGGGTTTCTCGGGAAAGAGGGCTGGAAATTTTTTGGGAAGGTTTTTCTCTCTGTAATTGCTATTGTAATCAGAATATTTGTTTATTAGTGCAAATCGAATTCCTCTGGGGAGTTCGCGAAGACGTAGGTGGATTTGCCACCGAACTCCGAGATCAATCGCTTGTGTTCTTGAGTTTTCGTTCTGTTTTTTGATTCTGTGATTGAAGTTGGTGTTGGATAATTTTACAACAGTGGTATCAGAGCCGGTTATAGGCGATCAATTTCAATCCAGAGTCAAGTTTGAGACCACTGGAGGGAGAAGAAAGTCTTGGTATAGGGACGATTCATTCAGACTTTGACGAGTTCAAAGACATTCCTCTGAACGAACAACCATCGGAGGAAAATCCAGCCACAAGATCGGTAGATCAGACAAGGCAAATTCAAGATCCTCTTGAATTCAGAATTATGGGAAATCTAAGAGTGGAGATTGAGAAGTTTGATGGCTCTGGAGACTTCCGCATATGGAGGAGAAAGATCAAAGGCCTTCTTGCTCAACAGAAACTGCTTCGTGCCCTTGAGGAATCCCCAAAATGGCCGGATGACTAGAGTGAAGATCAGAAACAAGAACTCTTGGAAACGGCAACAGGTATAATCATTCTACATCTTTCAGATGCTATAATTAGAATGGTTGATAAAGAAGATACACTTGCAAAAATTTGGAATAAACTGGATGAGTTGTTTCAGAAAAAATCCTTAACAAATAAAATCTTCTTGAAAGAGAGACTGTTTGGCTTTAGGATGAACACTGCCAGAACTCTTGATCAGAATCTTGATGATTTCCTAAGAATGAATATAGAACTGGCTAATTCTGGTGAAAACGAGGCATTGAGTGATGAGAACCAAGCTATAATCCTGCTGAATGCACTTCCCGAGTCATTTAAGGAGGTAAAGTCTGCCATTAAATACGGCAAGAAGTCAATTACCTTGGAAGAAGTCATCTCAGCACTGAAGTCCAGAGATCTTGAAATAAAAAATATAAAAAGGAGAGTCTTCATCGGGGGAAAATCATTTTGCAAGGGGCAGAAGTCAGGAACGTGGAAGTAATCGAAGGGGAAGAGGCAACAATAGAGGGAAAAGTAAATCATCCTCAAAAGGCCCTGGACAAGGAAGAAGGTGTTTCTTCTGCAACAAACCAGGCCATCTTAAGAAGGAATGCTATGCCTATCAGAGAAAGCAAAAAGAGAAAGGTCATCCATCAAACGGCTCAGACAACCATGAAGCTGCAAATCTTTTAGATGGATATGAGAGTGGTGAAGTCCTTTTGATGACAACTGAGGCTAAAGATCAGGACTGGGTTCTTGATTCTGGTTGTACCTACCACATGACACGTGATAAATCATGGCTTACAAACTTCAGAGAGGTGAATGGTGGCAAAGTGATGATGGGTGATAGTCATACTTGCCAAGTTGAAGGATTAGGCACAGTTGCCATAAAGATGTTTGATGGCATTGTTAGAATCCTTAAAGATGTAAGATATGTTCCTAGCCTAGCCAGAAACCTAATATCTCTAGGTGTGCTTGATGATTCTGGGTATGTGACAAAGATAGAAAGGAATTTTATGAAAACATGTAAGGGCTCAATGGTGGTTCTGAAAGGAGTCAAAAAGGATGGGCTCTACCACTTGATTGGTGACACACTTACTGGAAAATTATCAGTGGTTGTTGCACCAGAGTACAAGAAAGTTGTTTTATGGCACAATAGGCTTGGACACATCAGTGAACGTGGGCTGCATATCATGAGTGAACAGAGGCTGCTGGGAAAAGACAGAGTCAGCAAAGTGGATTTCTGTGAATCATGCATTCTGGGAAAACAACATAGGCTCAAGTTTAAGGCTGGAACACATGAGTCCAAGGCACCACTGGAATACATACACTCAGACTTGTGGGGTCCAGAAACTACTCCAACACATGGTGGTAACTTTTATTTTCTATCTATTTCTAGGAAGGTTTGGCTCTACTTATTAAAGAACAAAAATGATGCTTTAAATAAGTTCAAACAGTGGAAAACCTTACAAGAAAATCTGATAGATAGAAAGGTCAAAACTCTTAGGACTGATAATGGACTTGAGTTTTGCAACAAACTATTTAATGATTATTGTGCTGAGACAGGTATCTAGAGACATAAAATAATTAGAAAAACGCCATAGCAAAATGGGGTTGCTGAAAGAATGAATAGAACCATACTAGATAAGTCTAGGTGTATGTTATTTCAGACTGGTTTGCCTAAGAGTTTCTGGGGTGAAGCTGTAATGACAGTAGCGTACCTAGTCAATAGATGTCCCTCTAGTGCCATAGAGTTTAAAACTCCTGAGGAGTTATGGAAAAATAAACCACCTGAATTGTCACATTTAAGAACCTTTGGGTGTGCTGCCTATGCTTACCAAAAGGAGGGAAAGCTAGACCCTATATCTGTTAAATGTGTTTTCTTAGGATATCCTGAAGGGACTAAAGGTTATCGGTTGTGGGTTAGAGATGGAAAAGGTTTTAAAACAATAAACAGCAGAGATGTCATATTTAATGAATTTGATTTTCCATGTTTATCTCACACTAATATGCCTGCGGGAAAGGGTACTTCCTTAACTAACAATGTAGGTGCTACAGAGAGTCAAATTCAGGTGGAGCCTCCAAAAGGAAACACGGACATTGATCAGGTGGAGCATGGGCAATCTCAGATGCAACATATTGACTCTGGAAATACCTCTGATGAACCAGAATTTCAGCCATCAGAAGAAATGCAACCCACTCCAGAACTTGATCATAATAGATCACAGCCAGATGACTATGAGCTAGTCAGGGACAGATCTAAGAGAGTTTCCAAGCCAACTCAAAGATATGGGTTTTCAGCCTACTCAGACCTCTTAGCCTATGCTTTCACAACAGCTATGAACATAGATAAACATGAACCAGAAAGCTACAGGGGAAGCTGTCAGTTGTAAAGAAGCAAGCATGTGGATTAAAGCCATGAAAGAGGAAATGTCCTCTTTATACAAGAATAGAACATGGGAGATGGTGAAGAGACCAAAAACTCAGTCTGTGGTAGCCTACAAATGGATTTACAAACTCAAAGAGGGATCATCCGACTCAGAACCTGTGAAGTATAAGGCAAGATTGGTTGCCAAGGGATTTACACAAAAGGAAGGTGTGGACTTCACGGAAGTATTCTCACCGGTGGTCATGTACAAGACAATTAGGATCATGTTATCTCTTGTGACACAATTTGATCTAGAACTAGATCAAATGGATGTCAAGACTGCATTTCTCCATGGAGAATTAGAAGAAAGGATATACATGGAGCAGCGAGAAGGTTTTAAAGTGCAAAAAGAAAATGACATGGTGTGTTTCCTCAAGAGGTCTTTATATGACCTCAAGCAATCTCCCAAACAATGGTATAAAAGGTTTGATACTTTTATTACCAAGCAGGGATTTGCAAGGAGTTGGTTAGACACTTGCCTATACTACAGAGGATGCAACATCTGGAGTGCAGAGTACCTATTACTGTACGTTGATGACATGTTGTTAATAAGTAAGGAGAAAACAAAGATAGTCAAGATGAAAGAGATGCTAAAATCAGAGTTTGAAATGAAGGACTTAGGTCCAGCAGGGAGAATTCTTGGCTTGAAAATCAATAGAAACAGGAGTACAGGAATCCTATTTCTAAATCAGAGAAAGTACTTAGAGAATGTGACTGAAAAATTCTCTATAAGAGGAGCCAAAGCACCAAGACAGCCCATAACCTCTCAATTTCAATTATCATCTCAACAGTGTCCTAAAAGTGAAGAAGAAAGAAAGTTTATGGAAAGAGTTCCGTATGCTAATGCTGTGGGATCGGTGATGTATGCGATGGTCTGCACCAGACCGGATTTAGCTCATGCCATAAGCACCTTGAGCAGATTTATGTCAAATCCTAGAAAGTATCATTGGGAAGCAATGAAATGGTTATTAAAATACATTAGTGGTACCATCAGGTATGGTTTAAAATATGAGAAGCATAGACCAGAAGTTACAGTTGAAGGTTTCATAGATTCTGACTATGCTGGAGACAAAGATAGCTGGGAATCAACCACTGCCTACTTCTTTATGATGAGTGGTAATTGCATTAGTTGGAAGTCACAACTCCAACCTGTTGTTGCATTATCCACCACCGAAGCAGAATATATGGCAGCCACTGAAGCTATCAAAGAAGGCATTTGGATACAAGGTTTGCTCAAGGAATTGAAGCTACTCGAAGGAACAGGAACTGTATACTCTGATAGTCAAAGTGCAATACATTTGTGTAAAAATCTTGTGTATCATGACATGACAAAACACATAGAAGTCAAATATCACTTCATCAGGGAAAAGATAGCTGAAGGAGAGATCAACATTGAAAAGGTTCTAACTAAAGAGAATCCAGCAGATGTTGGGACGAAGGTTGTAACTCTTAGCAAGTTTAAGCATTGTCTTAAACTGCTAAGAATTGACAATGGCTAATGACAGATGAGGACGAGCAAGGATCCAGAGGAAGGGAAGATTTGCACTAAGGGATTATATGTAATTGAGGTGGAGATTGTTGATTCAATTACATATAATTAAAAGGAAGATTACTTCTGCAACAAATGAAGATAGAAGAAGAAAGAAAACGACAACTCTTTCTCACTTAACTTCAACAATACGACAGCATTACCAAGAGGTGAAGGAGATGACGTGGAGTTAAAAATATAGCTGGGGCACTGGTAATGAACCAGCCTTAGAAAAGTCAAACTTCTTCTCCATTCTTTCTAATATACATATAGATACTCATTTGTACGGGGATATCACGTGTAATGAAAAACAGAGGGATTCTTCTGATTTTAGAGAGAGAGAGTGCGGGTAACAGAAAGGGGGCCTTAGAGAGAGAAACATGTGATAGAGTGAGAGGGATTTTTTCTTGCTTAGGGTTTCTCGGGAAAGAGGGCTGCAAATTTTCTGGAAAGGTTTTTCTCTCTGTAATTGCTATTGTAATCAGAATATTTGTTGATTAGTGCAAATCGAACTCCTCTGGGGAGTTCGCGGAGACGTAGGTGGATTTGCCACCGAACTCCGAGATCAATCGCTTGTGTTCTTGAGTTTTCGTTTCTGTATTTTGATTCTGTGATTGAAGTTGGTGTTGTATAATTTACAACACTTATCTATATCTACATAATAAGTCGTCAAAAGTTTTTCTAACATTTTCTTCGGTGGTCAAGTCTTGAACGTGGCTCTTATCATTGTGTTCAGGCCCTTGAAAAGTCATTAGACTTCATAGTTGATGCAGCTTCTGGTGATCATTCATTTGATCTCTACATGTCGCTGTTGAAGAGTACTGGAGTTCTTCTAGCCTTAGTGGGATTGCCAAGTGAAATCAAATTGAGTCCCTTGAACCTTCTTCTGGGTACTTAGGAAATTTCAAATGCTCAAACTTGTATAAAATTTGTACTTTCTGATAGTAAAAAGTTTCTTTGGTGAGTTAAAAGCTTATGAGCCTTGTGTTTGTTGACAATCTGACAGGAATGAAAACCATTTCCGGCAGTGCAGTTGGTGGTCCAAAAGAGACGCAAGAAATGATAGACTTTTGTGCTGCAAAGGGAATATACCCGAACATAGAAAATCGTTCCAATTCAGTATGCAAACGAAGCTCTAGAGAGACTGATAAAAAGGAATGTCAAGTACCGATTTGTGATTGATATCGAGAACTCATTGAAATGAGGTGGCCAATGAAAAGGGAATCTGTCTTTTCCTGCATATGCATGTCGGACTTAGTTTTCATTTTTGTCTTCCCATGAACAAGTATCTAGCCAAATGGCATTTGCATTCGACAAGTTTGGTTAGAAGGATTGAATAGAAGTGCATGAATAAATTAGAAAATAAACTGTAACCATACACTCTATGTTAGTGAAGAATGAAGAACTCTATTTTTGTTTTCGGTATAGTTTTGGATCTCCACATCACCGAATACTACTAGACTCTCTTCGCAAACAGATTGAACGGAGAACTCCAGACAATTAAAGAGCTTTTTTGCCTTGGCTTGTTGAGCTAGGTAGTCAGACGAAGCCATGGTCAAAACCTATGACTTTAGCCATAGATTGATCCAGCATTCAAAATTTTACAAGGTGCACATAACATAAACTTGCAATAGAAAATCTAAAAAATAAAAATAAAAATTACTTGTCTTATCAAAACATGCATGCAGCAGCAAAGAGTACAAAACCCCCCTTAAAAAAATAAATAAATAAATAACCCTGAGATGCTAGGCAGAAACCGTCCAAGAGAAACGGCCCTTATTTCAAAATATTGAATTTGCTATGAGAAAACATGTCTGACGAAAAGTTCTCCATTTGATGGCTCGAACGATGCCTCAACTACTGCATGACAACATTTACTAAGACATGTTGATCCGGGAATTCCAACAGCCACAGGCTTTGCCAGAAGCTTTACTCCTTGCTTCCAATATCTCTTATCTAAAAAATTTTCATAGCAAATGGAATCGAGGGAGGTAAATGAAACAGGTTGGGTAGAAGGTTAACAAGCAGCAATTTTTAAGTACCAGTATACCAATGGAACCAAACTATACCTGGACCTGTAGATAATAACATAGAATTATCTGAATCCATCACCCAGTCAATCCACAGTGCGAATCCATGACACATCCCGGACTCCACAAATTCAACCTGTCCAAAACATTTGCCCAACAATAATTAATCCGTCCAACATTTGTCAAGACTCCACATTTTAGAGTTGATGTTGGACTACTGATACTCATTTACCAGCATCAGAAGCTATCACTTTCCACACAGTTTATCTCAACACAACTGAATGCCACTTCACTAGCCAAAGAGTAATACTATTTACAATCTTGGATAGCTTTTGGGCGAAGTTATCGATACCTGGTTCTTTCCGGTTGATGGGCTTATTGGCTTTGAGAAATCAAACTCCATAATTGTGAATACATTGCTGAGTTTCTGAAATGGTTTCAAAACCGTGCATCAAATTCATCAATCTATCCTCCTCAAAATAGACTTTTTTTTTCTGAAAAATAAAAAACACTACATTTGTACAGGAACCTTATATTTTCCAGACTGCCAGATAGAACAAGGTAGATAAGGACCAACTTGTTCTGCGGGTAATTCACCACACGCCCCTAAGGTAGTGTTTACAACCGAGTGATCAAAACCTTCGATCTTGTCCAAGCATCGCCGACTATTCCACAGATCCTGCATGCAAAGTTACAGCTCCAAATGACTTAGTTCTATAGACCATCCTACTCAATTAGTGTCTTTCTAAAACTTTCTTCTTTGGAGTGATTAGGCAAGCATAAAGGAAAGGTGACGGAAACTCACAGGGAGAGACATGGCACAAGCCTTCAATAGCCCTTTACAGGGCACTATTAGTGCATCTTCCGATAGTAGAGAGCCGAGCATTGTCCGCTCCTTCCTTTACCCCAGTCCAAAACAAAACAAAAAAAAAAAAAAAAAAAAAAAAAAAAAAAAAAAGCAACCAAGTCCAATGAGATTTAGAAAAGGCAAAGAAAGTCAAAACAGAAATTAAGGGAAGAAATGCAATCATTATTTCGTGATTTACCAAAATCGCAATTTCTGCCACGGAAGCATCCCCTCAGTTCCACTATAGAAAGGTTCTCCGATCAACAAGTCAACCTACAAACACAACATTTCATATTCGGTTCATAATTTGTTAGTGGCAACCTGAATAATATATTTAAAGAAAAATATTAATTAGAAGAGGGTACAAATTCAGTCATCTGATAACTTTCCAAGAAATAGTGGTAAAAAACAAAAAAAAAAAACAAAAATTCAGCTCCTGAATTAGGTGAAAGTTACCTTTTTCTGATGTGTATCAATCATACTCGAAAGTGTTTTCTTCTTCTCCAGAACTTGTACGCGATCCATAGAGAAACCATTTGCATCAGCAACAGCTTCCAAGTATCGGGCACCCTTGCTCCGCAGCCCCGGAAACAATGATATTACACTTGATGTCTTTGAAAGATGCGCAACAAGAAGTGTCAAGAAAACACTATCATCTGCAACAACGCATAACGGATCAACTCTTCCCTTTAACTGCAAAGTATACCACGTAAGCCGTAAGCAGTCAGAATATAATAAATGATCAAGTTTGTCCGTTAGTTAATACGTACTCGAGTATTTGTGCGATGGTGATAGTGATAGTGATAGGCGAAGAAACGGATCGAACTTACTGCATTTCCTATAACTGTTGATATGAAAGTCCTCCATTCGCCGTCTCCATAGATTGCGACTCTTTCCGGTGATAATTCCAGCTGGAAATCCCCACCCTTGAAGCCATGCATCATAGGATGATCTACTTGTGACTGTGTCTTAAGATTATAAGAGATTCTGGTTTCATCATGAAAAGCTGACAAATGAACCTTTTGATCCTTGGCTAGGGGAATCCCTTGGCCTGGAACAAACCAGACACACTGTTTCCAGTGGTCGCACCAATCGTCATCACCTGATGAACCACCAAATTGCTTTGTCACCAACATCAACCGTTTAAATACAAACAAGACACGAAAATTCATACCCAAAAAAAAGAAAAAACAAACAAACAAACAAATAAACAAACAAAACAAAAAACAAAACATTACTCTGGTCATTTTGCACAATTTTGCATTAAGTTGCACAACTTTCTTTCCAGAATGCCTAAAAGCAAAACTAAAAACAAAATATGCCTTCATTCACTAGAAATATCTGACTCACTTTTATTTGTTGGCATACTAATCCATCTTGGGGCAGTGGAATAAAAAAGAGTTCCTTCACGATCCATCTGAAGTACCCACCTGGGCACAAACAAGTTTTCAGCACCAAAGTTATAAAAATTTATATCAATAAATATACGACAGTATCAGAAAGAGAAAGAATGAATAGCAAATACGATATCTACCATGAAATTACAGCATGAACTTGACCATTATTAGTTGCTCTAATGGAAAGCTGATTTTCTCCGTAACTGTCTGGCCGTTTCCAAAAATCAAATTCAAAAATTTTGAAGGGTTCTGAAAGCTGGATGAATTTTAAGTTGAGTAGGAAATAAACCTTAGAAATTGCAAGAAATATTGTTAATGATCCAATCATATACTTACGAGATTTATTTCGTTTTCTATCGCATTGCAATGCAAGGCATATTGTTGTGACTTGACACCTAAAATATTATTAAATCCGGCTGGAACAAGACGAAGGCCATCAGATGCCTGTGCTTCGTTATTATGTAAATCATGAAACCTCCACAAGAATGTACTTTCTACCAACTGTGAGATGGAGAAAGGGAGAGTGACAAGATAAACGGGCAACAAAATCAGAGAGAAAAATAAATATCTGTAGCTAAAAGAATTCCGTAAGAAATAAACAACTATAATAAAGGATACAATAAAACGAAAAGCAAAAAGTAGAAGATCTCTTCAGTCACCTGACCATATGCAGTTGCTTTGTATGGAATTGTTACTGGATTTTCTACTAACAGCATGTCATGTGCATGCTGTAGAGTAGGGATAAGCCCTTCACCCAATAGTTCCGAGTCCAGTATCTCACTAACCTGCAAAGAGAAATTCAAACGAGCCATAGATATGACAATAAGTGAATCGAAGCAACTTTATGAAAAGGGAGCACATTTGGTAACATAATGAAACCCGATATTTCATTCCACACTATCAATTACTGAATAAAGGCGATAACTTGTTTCTCCATCAATTACTGAATATTCAGTTAAGGCTAAAAAAACCACCATAAGTTTTAAAATCCATCCATTTTTCCCTCCTAACCAAACAAGGCCTCAATGTTTCTAAGAGTGTCATTAGTAATAGTAGGCAATATGCGACGCAAAAGACGGGCCACTCACAAGAACATCTGCTCGCGAAGGTATATCAACACCAACTCGAAGTTCATCAGAGCGCTTGTTGATGACATGAACAGCCTTTTCCATGGCATTGTGGCGCAGAACTTTCTTCATCAACTTCAGCATTGGAAGATAAGACTCACATGCTGTCACCATCGCGTTCCACTGCCTATTACTATTAGTATTACTATGATCACGTGTTGAAGCTGCTGCAGATCCCATTGCCCGAGCAGCCATCATTGACAACAAACCAGTTCCAGCACTGCGCGCGCACACACACACACACAATAGAATATTCTTGTACCGTTATCACATTAACTCTTAAGGCAGGCCCTTCAATTCTCACAAAGTTCAAAAAGTTATATGAACAGAATTTCTGTGTTAATATAAATTCTGCTGTTAAATTACATAAAAATCATATCAAAAGTAAGTAAATCGTATGTTTATATATAATTATCTAAGTATATATGACAATACATATGTGTGTGTGAGGGAGAATTTTGTGTAAGACAATGTATAAGTAGCAGTTTATTTACCCAATATCAAGAACGTGGGAAGGAGAGGTAATAGCCTTGTCAATGGCTTGACGAAAAGCTCGGTTCCTGGGAGAGTCATTGAGCATGTCCAAGTACGAGGTTGTAGCCAAAAGGGGTGAATTAGGCTGAGCATGTTCATCTTCATCTTCATCTTCTTCGATGACGACCCACTCCGAGTTGCCAGTAAGCGGGTCATGTCGGAGCTGGAACACGCGCTGGGTCGACCCGGAACTCATGGTTCGGATTGCGGCGGCGAAGCGAGGAAGAGAGGAGAAAAGGGTCTGAGAAGGAGGAGGAATCCAAGAGGGCATTGGACAGACTTCACTCTTCTAAAGTTATCCTTTTTTTTTTCCTCTAAAAAACACTCTTCTAAAGTTATTTCATATTTTTGAGTGTTTTATTAGACTTTTAAGCGTCGGGTTTGTTCGTTAATTTAAATTTTTATTTTAAATTAAGATGTGATTTTATATAAAATTTTTTTATTATAATAAAAAATTTAAATATAATTATTTATAAAAAAAATTTATTATAATAAAATTTAAATTGATAAAATGAACGAAAATTAATAAAATCTATATATAATACGACACAGTTGCATTTAGTAAATATGATAATAATAATTAAAAAAAACCAAATAGTTCCCTAGTGACCAGTGATGAAAATTGCAAAGCCAAAATGTGTTTCTTTTTGTTGCTTGCTCCCCTCTCTCTCTTCTCTACAATTTGGCATCAAAGGGAAGCGACGAATGTACGATGCATCAACGTGAGAATAGTTTGCTCTCAATTGAAACTGAAGCAAAGCAAACAACTTTATTATTGAAAAAAAAAAAGTTTGTTTAATGGGTTCCCACCAAAATGGAGCCTGATGTCTGATGCTCTTTACGTACATAAAAACAAAGCGACCTCTGAAGCTTCCTTCTTAACGAACTCCAAAAGAAAACCTTTTTTCTTTTTAATTCATATATAAAAAAGACTCGAGCTTTGGAGCTTTCTTTAATGGCGGTAGCCGCAGCAGCAGCAGCCTTTCAGGCAGACTGTATATTTTGCCAGATCGCCTCCAAATCCACATCCACCACTATTCTCCATTCTGTATCTTCTCTCTCTCTCTCTCTCTCTCTCAAGTGTTTTTGGGATTAAATTGATGGATTGATAAATATGTAAATGGGTGTGCGCAGGATGACAAAGTTGTTGCCTTTCCGGACATTAACCCTTCTGCTTTCAGGTTCCCACTTCAATTTCATTTCATTTCCACACCCACTTGCTTTTTACATTTTCAACTCTTAATCAAATTTTGTACCTTTTACTTTCGTCATGTTCCGCTTACAGCATAGATGTAGAACATAACGCACATTTACATTATTCTATTTGCTTAGGGTTTTTCATTTGCTCTGAAATTTTAGATTTTGTGAGTATTTTAGCCAACAATGAGGTGAAGAAGAAATTATTAGGAATTACTCTTTGTGCTTATTGGAGTATTTACACCGAGGAATTTTAGATTTTGGTATAATTGGTTTCATCAATTTTAACCAGTTCAGATGTTCTGAGAGGCTGAATGCGAGGCTAACTTATTGCTCCCGAAACTTAAGCGATTAAAGATTGGAGCTTTATGGATGTCATCAACCTTATAAAGAGATTAAAGATTAGAGCTTTATTCAATAGAGGATGGCATTAACCTAATTGTAACCTCAGTGAATGGATACTTGTGTTAGGTCCAAAACAAGTACAAATTGAAGACTATTCTTTGTCATCAACCTTATATATGGTTGTCGTCAACCTTAGATGTTTGTCTTATGTCCAAATTGAATGATTATTCTTTGTAGGCATTACTTGATTATTTCTGTGGCACATATTCCTACTGTTAGAGATCTTCAGAGGAAAGCTGAAGACTATTTTTTGGGTAAAGTTACTGTGTTTAAACGAATATTCTATGGTCTAATCAATATTCTTACTTTCTTCTTGAATCTTGAGAGTAATTGATGGTCTGATATTCTATTTCGTTTCATTCAGTGAGTCACATGTTAGAAGTGGGGCAAACGCTATTGGCGCGAGATGCACCTCAATGCAAGTACAGGTATCATTGCCTTGTTCTTGAAATTTCTCTTTTCAAGTTATATCCTTGAGTAATGAGTACTAGCATTCAGTGATGTGATGTGTTTTATTTTTCTTAAGAAGCCGTTTGCTTATGTTTCTTCTACTAAAATATGCAAGCATGCTGTAGCATTTCTTCTCTGGAAACTATGTAAATCTATGTGTATGTGTATGTGTATTACTTTGTCATGACTCCTAAGTTTCATGTCTTTGACTTTACTGTGTTTTGCGCATGTTGGTGTTTATGTGTTTGAGCTGTATATGTAATATGTGGATCCGGAGTGTCTTGTCTTGTATAGAAAATTTAGAGCGTATAAAAATTCGATGATTAGTTCTACTAGCATATGGTTTGGGTATTATAGTGCAAAACCGAATTAGTGCCTAATTCCTGGTGTCATCTTTTTACGCTTGGCCCCATAGTGGTTGTGTACTTGTTATGATAACACATAAAGAATGAAGTGAAAAACCTTCAATTAGAGTAGGGACTCTTACATATTCCAGAAAACAATTGGATAATAAAGTAATTGTTAATTGATTTTATTTTACTTTTTCTGAATAATTTTCTGCATATCAGTTTAATTGCGTAAATGAATTCAAATTTAAGTGCGATCTTCTTCTTTCATGACAGGTTTGGGTTTCACCAGCCTCCAATGAACAGTGTCAACCATTTACACCTTCATTGTCAGGCACTGCCCTACACACCCAGGTGAGCGATTTAGGGTTTCACTGGGGTCATATGCTTTAGCCTTATTTTAAATCACCTTAAAACTTTTTTCTTTGGGATGCTGAAGTTCAATGTGTAACTGAACAGATGGAAATGTATGAAATACTTGTCCTTTGGATCACTTGGATTTATTGAAGCTGACAAGTTATTGGAGAAGCTCAAGCCTTGATTCGCCTTTACTTTACAAAGCAAATTTGTTGTAATTGATATCTAAACACGGAAATATCGAGCATTCAAGTCAATATCACCTATTACTTTGCAGCTCCACAAAATAAGTATGTGTTACGTTGGAAGTGTTTGTAAATCTTACCCGCAGGGTTCTTTCTCCTATACCTAGTATGATCCATATTCACGATGCTTGAGATCTAATAACATTGTCAACACATCTCGGCTACTTCTATACCAGTTAATGATACTTGATGCTCATTGAAATGTTACAACAGTGCTTATGAAAAATGTTAATTCCATTGTTTAGAAAGGCTCCATTTCTTAGTCTCCTTGAAGGCTAATAATCATATATAGTGGAGCTGTTTTGCAGGTCTTCTTGGCTGGTCTCAGGATTTTGTTTAGCTAATTGGCTTGTAGACTACAATTGTCAACCTCACTCTAATTTAAAATCTGTTAGAACTCCCGATCTCGTCTGAAAATAAATAAATTTTCTATTCGACCTTTTAATGAGAAATAAGGCCCCTTTCGCAGGCATCTCACCCCTAAGACTCGCTTGCTTTATATAGAGAGTGGCTCGTGGTTCCTCAAGTACCAACCGCAAAAAGGAATGGCTTCAACTAGGCTGCCATCGGCCACTACTTGCTCGCTCGCTTGCTCGCTGGCCACCCCAATTGTCAACCTCACTCTAATTTAAAATCTGTTAGAACTCCCGATCTCGTCTGAAAATAAATAAATTTTCTATTCGACCTTTTAATGAGAAATAAGGCCCCTTTCGCAGGCATCTCACCCCTAAGACTCGCTTGCTTTATATAGAGAGTGGCTCGTGGTTCCTCAAGTCCCAACCGCAAAAAGGAATGGCTTCAACTAGGCTGCCATCGGCCACTACTTGCTCGCTCGCTTGCTCGCTGGCCACCTGGGCCTGCATTTCAAGTTTGTTATCCTAGTGACTCCTTCCCTCTGCTCCACTGCAAGCCTGGACCCTTTCAAAGCAAGGGTTTTTTCTAGTATCCAATTCGTAAACCCGGTTATTGAGTGGTGAAAACCTTCTGATTTTAACAATTTTGGGACAAGAAAACTTTAAAAGTAAAGGGGATATTTCTATTTACAATCTGTTAAATTTGGATTTATCAGATATGCTTATGGCAACTAGCACATCGAACTGACACAAGTGAAGGGGAATCTCGCATACAAAGATGGGTTGAGGTCTGACACGTCCTAGGTAATATGTATCATCAAGATTCAAGATCGATACGAATGTAGGACATTAGATATTGATGTCTCATATGAAGGATACAATGCGACACATTTGGGCCCTAATACTTTCGCAGGTTAAGGTGCGTTAGTGTGGCCTTGTCAATCACTAACCATACGTTGAACAATATCCAGCCTTTTTACCTCGAGCTTTGGAAAACGACATTCATCTGAAGACCTCTTCATTTGTGTCTACATTCGCAGTTCCACGATATGTGTTTGCCTGATTGATATTTGTTCACGTAATAATCTCATTAGGAAAATGACTGCAAATACAACGCCTTCCTCCTAATTCTTAGTAAATGCTTCTGATTTTACTCATTTTGTTCCCCCCTTGTTGAATCTAATAATTAATCTTGGGAAATTGACTCTAAACTTGTTGGAGCAAAGGAATGTGAAATGTACAGCCTTCTTTCTAGTTTTGTCAAATTCCAGATTTTTGTATTTAAAAAAAAAAAAAAAATGGAAGATGATGGCCCTCAGAATTAATGTAATGATGACTTGTATACATATAGGTCATGTTTGTTTGACCATATTAGAATACCGTATTATATAATAATACAATAATGTTATGTTTGGTGTGACCATTGTATTGTATAAATTAATACAGATGATCAATTAATACCAAAATTATTAAAATTTTACATTTTGACACCTTATACAGTATATCATGACACCAAACACCGTATTATTTATCATAATACAACACAATATAATATAATATACCTTATACAATACGATACGATACAAACTATCAATCATATCCATATGGATTTCATATAAAACAATACTTTTTTGGCATGTCTGGTCCACTTGGGGACCCATCTTCATCCTTAGACTGACCAATCTTATTCTTAATCATTGAGTGATGGTCGCCAAATTTAATGCCGAACAGAATGAGAGGCTACCAATAATCATCATCATATTAATAATAAGCTAATCCCATCCGTTAGGTAAAACACCCCATTATGCATATTATAAAATACGTATTGGTATTCTTCTGTTAAGGGATTGCTTTTTTAATCTTTGTGGTTTGGTTGGTGGCTAAAAAATAAGGCCCTTTCACAATTATTTATACGCGGGAAATTTAATAAGAAAAAGGCAAAAGAGCTCTATTGGCATATATATATATATATATATATATATATTAATAAAGGAATATTAGGATGGTTTGGCGTTTGGTGAGCGTTAGGCATGGGTAGCTGGCGCTTAGAATACAAAAGGAAAATGAGTTTTGAGGAGGCCATGAATATCTTCATCTTTAGGTATAGGTATGGCACAGCATTATTGTAGGACATATGGTTGAGTTGAGACAATATCCCTGCTTTTCATCTTTTGCGAGGATTTTTCACTCATTTAACTTTTTTTTTATAGAAATTGATGAAAATCTCAAAGAGCTTAACGATACTATTAAAGATGTTTCTTTGTAGCTAGGGGAGATTTCTCCATTGAGTACATATATATATGGGTAAATTTCAATAATAGCCTATGTATATGGCTATGATTGATGAATGCATTTGCATTTGCATTTGCATTTTTGAGGGAAAGTGTTAGTTGCAAACTTGCAACCAAAGCTAGAGGGGCAGTGGGCTGTTTGTGTGTCGTATGAAATTGGGCTGTGGGCTCCCAAGAATCTAACTGGAAGCGCTGAGACACCTAACCTTGGGGCCCGCCTTTGATAGGGCCCACAAATAGCGGCCAATTTGGCATTTGGCACAGACCACAAAGCACAAGGAAGCTTTAAAAGCAGCCAGCTAATGATGCCACGCGTCGTCTTCTCGCTGTGAGTGGCAGTGGCACTGCTTCTCTGGGGCCTTTTCCACGAAATCATTTTTATTCAGAACAAAATAATAATAATTAACAATAAACTTCATATAAATCCGCTGTCACTGTCACTCATTTTTCGTTTTCTCCTCTGTTTTCTTCGGTTGCCTTTTTTTTTTTTTTTTTTTTCAAAGTTTTGTGTAGGATACGTGGCGCGTATTATAAACGTTCAGAGTATTATCAATATCATGTAAAACATTGGAGATAACATGCTTTTTTTTTTCTCTGTGAACAAAATAATATGCAAATTTAATATCATAAGTTTCGATAAGGAACTATTTGTCCAATGAAGGATTGTTTTGGTGCTATGCTAAAGAATTTTGATTTTTTTATATTAAACCATACTAAACAAAATTTTCTATATATATTTTTGACCATCCACGAGTTCATGGCTTTGTGCTTTTTGCTTTGATAACTGCGTATACTTAAATGAAAGTTGTATTAAATTATATGAAATAGACAATCAACAAGCATCTTGACAATTATTTTTATCGACATATTAGGAATGTTTAAATATTTCTTCTTTTGTTGTGACAAGTGACAATACAATATCATCGCCTTTCACCATTAATATCCGAGCATTCATTTGATGTTGTGTCTTATTACTGTGTTATTGTATTATTACTCGACAAAGGAAAAAGGTCAAAATGAATGCATTCATTCTTTCATTTTTATTTTCTTTTATTATCACATTGCCCTTTTTTATTTTTTTATGTTTTTGAGAAATATATTATAGTCACATCATCTTTTATTATAATTGATTGTTCTTTTACAATTAACACATGCATTTTTTGTATTTCCTAATATATGAATCTCATGCCCTTCGTTGTTATGTTTAGTAGAGGAATTTATTTTCTGATTCGAATCATGATTCGTGATTTGTTATAAAATTTTTTTTCATAAAAAATACACGTAAATCAAAAATAATTCGAATCACATAGTTTGAATCTTCCAACCAAACGAACTGTAACTTTTATTCTAGCGTTTCCACTAATTGAGTTGTTTTCTCTCGTTGTTTAGATAGCCATAGTCCATGGAGAAGGAAAAAAAAATCTCATATATGATTTTGCAATGGCTTTGTTGAACATGAACAGGAACTTGTATGTGGGACTCGTACCAAGGACAAATGTTAGGTAGATGGAGTGAAATAAAAAATATAATAGACATGCAATTTGGCATACTGCCCGATATTTTGATATTTATTTTTCGATGGACCCAATCTAGTTTTCAATATTTTTGCTCTCTCAAATATAAATTAAAAATAATGGGAAAAGAAACACTTATCCTAATCCAGCTTCTTGAAAAAAATGGATGACTTGGTTTGACCGAAATGTAATGATGTAAAAGATTTTGGCTTACGTTTGAGCTGTAACAGCCAGCAAGAAAAAGAAGAAAGTAAATATAATGATATAAATTATAAGGGAGATTTATTTAGTACGTTGATATATCAATACGTTAAATTTTTTAAATTATTATTATTATATATGTATTTTATATAAATTTAACAAATAAAAAATTAAATTTATTATTATATTAGCGCACAAAAGAATATTCTAAATTATAACAAAAGTTGTTATACTTACTGCTTTTGTTTTAATGATTATACATAAATGATAAAAAATAATTTTATTCACATACTTTTTTTTACTCTCTACACTTCATTTTAATTATAATTTCTTATTAAAATAATAAAAATGAACTATTATAATAGATTTAATTATATAATTAATTTTATTATAAAAAATATAATAGACATGCAATTTGGCATACTGCCCGATATTTTGATATTTATTTTTCAATGGACCCAATCTAGTTTTCAATATTTTTGCTGTCTCTCAAATATAAATTAAAAATAATGGGAAAAGAAACACTTCCGAATCGAGCTTCTTGATAAAATGGATGACTTGGTTTGACCGAAATGTAATGATGTATGATCTTGGCTTACTTTTGAGCTGTAACAGCCTGCAAGAAAAAGAAGGAAGTAAATATAATGATATAAATTATAGGGAAAATTTTTTAGTACGTTGATAAGTTAAATTTTTTAAACTGTTATATATGTGTATTTTTTTTTTTTTTTACATGTTTTTATACATATTTGGTAAACAAAAAACATAATTTATCACTATATTAGCGCACAAGGTCCCAAATTATAACTGAGGTTTTTATACTTACTGCTTTTGTTTCAATGACCATACATAAATGATAAAAAAGTAATTCTATTCACACATTTTTTTTTACTCTCTACATCTCATTTTAATTATAATTTCTTATTAAAATGACAAAAAAATGATTATAATAGACTTAATTGTATAATTAATTTTATTATAAAAAATAATAATATTTTACTTTTTTCCCTTCACATACCTCACTTGTTATATTCTTAAATTCAAATAATTACTATTTCAAAATCTATGATAAAGCTTTATTTTTTTATCCATTCAATAAATATTCCAAAAAATTATATAGAAATATTTTAAATTTCTTTTTGCTATTTGTTCAATTATGATTGTTCTTTTACCTTATCTTTCATTTGTTTTGTGTTAATGTTTTTTATTCTTTTAATTATTTTATTTTTAAAACGGTAAATCATTTTGTTTTATTTTCTTTTTTGTTTCTTATAATGTAGAATTAATTTTTTTCCATTTTCTTCTTTTTTATATTTATTATGCTCGTTTATTTGTTTTTCATTCTTTTTTTATTTTATTTTTAATCATACATTAATAATATAATAAATTTTTTACCCTATTTTTTATTTTTTGAATTATATTGCTTTCTATTTTATATTTTTGAGTGTCTTTATATTTTCTAAAAAATATATTTTAATAAATTTTTTTCCTGTAAAAAAACTTCATCCCTAAAGCTTCAACTAAATAAAATAGAGAAATATAGAAATGATAATATTAAAATAAAAAATTAAAATAAAATATTGTGTGTAAAAAGAAAAATGATCAAGAATTAATAATCTTATAAAAATAGTTTAGGATAATTTTAAAATAATAAGAGTGTGTAAAAAGTAAATTCAATAATTTTAAATTATATGAGATGTGTGTTTAGAAAGATGATATAAAGAGTAAAAATGAGTGTATAAATAGAATGACCCAATAATAAATGGGGAAGAGTGGTGTTCTATAATTATTTACAAGAAAAATTTGTAACACCAAACAAAAATTCACGTTTAGTGTGAAAGTTTTCACCTTTTATTCTCAATCTCCTTCCTTCATGTAATAAAAGAAGGGGAAAAAAAAAAACCTTTCCCCCATGGAAAAAAAAAAGGGAAAAAAAAAATCCTTTCCTCCATGTAAAAAAAAAAGGGAAAAAAAAAATCCTTTCCTCCATGTAAAAAAAAAAGGGAAAAAAAAAATCCTTTCCTCCATGTAAAAAAAAAAGGGAAAAAAAAAATCCTTTCCTCCATGTAAAAAAAAAAGGGAAAAAAAAAATCCTTTCCTCCATGTAATAAAAGAAGGGAAAAAAAAAAAAAGGCTATACTATAGTCTATAGAAATCTTATTATCCTTCAACTATTTAACTTAATCAATGGGCACTTAGCCCAAGGATATTAGAACTACCACCAAACTCTTCATCATCATAATCACTAGTTAATGGATACTTAAAATTGAAATTGACAATCACACTGTTTATAAAGATAATAATAATCTCTCCTCACAATTCAAATATCCTCGTTTGCCTACCCAACCAAACACAAAAGAAGAAGCTTCCTCCTTTTCTTCACTTCTACACCATTATAAAGCCCCATTTTTTCTCTCCTCAAACCCCTACTTCCTCCTCCTCCCCCACCAAAATAATATATTTGAAAAGAGGGGAAAAAAAAAAAAAAAAAACTCTAGATCCTCTGTTTCATACCTTGATGGCTTCCTCTCCTCTGTTTTTTCTGTACTACTACAACATACTCTGTTTTCTCCTAACATTATTCTCTGTTTCCCATTCCTCAATTGTTCTCCTCCCTCTAACCCACTCTCTCTCCAAAACTCAACACAACTCCACCACCCACCACCTCCTGAAATCTACCTCCAGCCGCTCCGCCGCCCGCTTCCTCCGCCACCACCACCACCACCGCCAAGTGTCCCTCCCTCTCTCCTCCGGCAGCGACTACACTCTCTCTCTCACTCTCGCCACCACTCCTCCTCAGCCCGTCTCTCTCTACATGGACACCGGCTCCGACCTCGTCTGGTTCCCCTGCTCCCCTTTCGAATGCATTCTCTGCGAAGGCAAATCCAATCCCTCCACCACCCTCCCTCCTCCCAAACTCCCCCAAAACGCCACCGTTTCATGCCACTCCCCCGCCTGCGCCGCCGCCCACTCCTCCCACTCCTCCTCCGACCTCTGCGCCATCGCTCGCTGCCCTCTCGACTCCATCGAAACCTCTGACTGCTCCAACTTCTCCTGCCCCCCTTTCTACTACGCCTACGCCGACGGAAGCCTCGTCGCTCGCCTCCATAAATACTCATTCTCCATTACTCCTTCTTTGCTCCTCAACGACTTCACTTTCGGCTGTGCCCACACCGCTCTCGGCGAGCCCATCGGAGTCGCCGGCTTCGGTCAGGGTCTACTCTCCATGCCTGCTCAGCTCGCGAAACTCTCTCCTCAATTAGGACAACACTTTTCCTACTGTTTGGTGTCTCATTCGTTCGACTCGGAACGAGTGAGGAAACCGAGTCCGCTTATTCTCGGACGGAAGGAGAAGCGAGTTGAGGGGGAGGAAAGAGTTGAGTTTGTGTACACCACCATGATTGATAATCCCAAGCATCCTTACTTCTATTCTGTTGGTTTCCTCGGTATTTCCGTCGGGAAGAGGAACATTCCGGGGCCGGAGTTTCTGCGGAGGGTCGACCGGAGGGGAGGTGGAGGGATGGTGGTGGATTCCGGGACGACGTTCACGATGCTGCCGGCGAGTTTTTATGACTCGGTGGTGGCTGAGTTCGACCGCCGAGTGGGGCGAGCTCACGAGCGGGCGACGGAGATTGAGGACAAGACCGGGTTGACGCCATGTTATTTCTTCGACGACAATAAGGTGATTGTCGTTCCGACAATGACTCTTCACTTTCTTGGTGGGGATGAGAAGAAAAATAAATCATCGGGTGTGGTGTTGCCTAGGAGGAACTATTTCTATGAGTTTTTGGATGGTGATGATGCGAAGAAGAGGAAGGTTGGGTGCTTGATGCTGATGAACGGTGGAGATGAGAAGGAGTTGAGTGGTGGGCCGGGGGCTACGCTAGGGAACTATCAGCAGCAAGGTTTCGAGGTGGCCTATGATTTGGAGAATCGGAGGGTTGGATTTGCAAGGAGGCAGTGCTCATCGCTTTGGGATAGTTTAAACCAATGAAACCAAAGTATTGAAACCTTCTCGGTGTTGACTTTCTCAATCCGGGGAAGGTTTGACTTGGGCTGGGTTTTAAGTTAACGCCCACGTGGGGATTCGATCAGATTTCTCGTCCATGTACATGTTCTTTTCTTTTCTTTTCTTTTTTTTTTTTTTAAAGTAATAAGGTGGGTTTTGAAAATTGGTAAATTAGTATTGCAATTTGCACTCCACTTTTTTGCTTGATGCTCAGTTCCACTGAAAAATGTACATATCTTATATGTATAATGTCCGTGTTAGAAAGAAAGTGGGGCATGAAGCAAAAAATGAAGTGTAAACAAAACCAAAAGGCATGTGTAACATATAACGAATGATCCTATTGAGATTCAGTGTAAACTTTGTAAAGCAATCAATTTGTTCAGTCCATCCCATCCCATGTAAGCTGATTGTTCATGTTATATACACTTACACTTATAAAGCAGTGTACTTGATCATTTGGCTTACTTTGGCTCAGCATATTCAAATGAGATTGAGAGTTAAATGCTAAATGGCCGTAAAGTGGCCAAAGACTGAAAAGCATGGGTTGGAACAGGGTGTGTTTCTTAATGGCTTATGGCTCTATAGGACCCCGCCTAAAATTAAAACAAGTGATGAAACCATGAAATGAATTATACCCAGAACAGAGAAAGATGCTTTCGCATAAATATATATATATATATATATAGTAGTTATATATATATCTGTGTGTGTGTATTCTCGGATCAGATATTTTGGAGCAGCCCCCCATGAATTTAGCATGTGTAAATTTGCTTTCCTTCTGGCTTGTTAGATTTTCCAGAAAGGTGGCTATTACCAATATCTCGTTCTGGACCACCTTGCACTTAATACGCTCGTTTAAAAAGAGGGAGGAAAAATAAAAGCAAGGAAAGGGATAAGGATAAAAGAAAAAAAATCAGATGATGGGCAGAGGAAAATCTGTGAAGAAGAAGAAGAAGGTAAAAGGAGAATCGACCTTAGGTTAAAATAAACCCATATTGTAGTCTTTACTGTAGAGCGGGTTGAGTTGGTCGTTTTCTTCGAGATATGGATAAAAAAAATTGAGAATGACAAATTTTATAAATTTCCATTAAATTTTACCACTCATGTCAATATATCATTTAAATTTTAAAATGTGTATATTATATTTTTAAATTTTATCATTTGTGTTAATATGCCCTTCAAAATTAATTTTGTTAGATTTTTTTTAACGAAAATACTTATAAATATCTCTTTAAACTTTATTACTTGTGTCAATATGTCCCATAAACTTTAAAATGTACTTATTTTATCCATTAAACTATGATGTGTCTCTTAACTTTTATCCCTCTGTCTTGATTATATCAGTTTTTTAAACAAAAATATTGATATGACCATTAAATTATTAATTATTTATGATATTTGACTATTAAAATTTGTTAAGTTAATGAGTTTTTTAGGATTTGTGTTGATTTTTTTTAAAAGTACAATAAAATAAATTACCTGAACGCATTTAGATTTAGATATGCTATATACGTATATAGTATAAATATGCCTTATGTCGAACACTTCTATTTAGGTGAAATATTAAGGAAAAAACTAATAAAATTCATTATATTATACAGATTTGCTCCTCATTTTTTTTCCTATTTATTGCCTCTAATCAACTAATGTTTTGAAAATTAGTGCTTAACAAACATTTTTAGAGGAAAAAGTATTCAATAAACCTCAAATATCATAGATAATTAGTAATTTAATGGTTATATCAATATTTCTGTTAAAAAAAACTAATAGAATCAAGATGGAGAGAACAAAATTGAAGAGATATCATAGTTCGGGAGTAAAACATGTACATTTTAAAGTTCAATGGACATATTAACACAGGTGATAAAGTTCATGAGGCATTTATAAGTATTTTCATTACAAAATTTAAATGGAGTTAATTTCAAGTTGTATGTTAACACAAATGATAAAATTTAAAAGTATAAATAATTACATTTTAAAATTTAGAGAGCATAATGATACAAATGATAAAATTTTAAAAAAATTTATAAAATTTGTTCCCATAAAAAGGAGTTAAAGACACAACTTTTTAATTGCAGGATTCTTTAAAGTGTCATGACGTCTACCCACAGCAAAGTAACGAATAAAGTGTTATGTAGTAAAATAAATCCATCTCAATCTTTTACTTCTCTTTTTTTATCTTGTGTTTATTTGCTTGTCTTTTTTCGACAAAAAGAGACCATACATATTAGGTGGTGATTGGATTGTGATTTACGTCGTCCATGGACTTATATGCATTGAAGATGGTCTAACGTGTCTCAATTCTTTCTTATATTGAGAGTTGAGTATAATATTGCATTTAATTGGAGCAAATTAGGCTCATTTGTTGCCGACCATCATACAGTTCATGGACATGGACATAGGCCGCTCTAATAATTGGTTACACTTCAACTTTCCATTCCGAATACATTGGTCTTAAGACTTCCAAGTCAACTAATTACCCTACCACTCTGATAAGGTCTGAGAACAATACAATGCAATCTACTTTTATTATTGTTTGAAACTTTTTAATTCTCTCTCAGTACATATATAAAATTGCATTAATAGAACCATAATAGAATTTTAAACGATAATAGAACAGAATTTGACAGAAACACGATGAGTCAAAATTACGTAATACGTAGTACTGAGAAAATATCTTTTTAGTTAATCAAAATAACTCTCCTTTGCGCTCTCATTTAAGTTATTAGTTCAAAATAATGCTCCAGTGGGCTATACAAGTTTTGTATAATAGAGGCAAACTCCAAGAGAGTACTTTGAAAATTCTATAATGACACATTTATTAATATGAAATAAAACTCTGCTTTCAAACCCCAGGCGCATATTACTTAGAATTTTCATAATTTTGAATGAATGAATACTCATGAACGGGGAATGGGTAATGAGTACCTCTCCCAAGTCCCAAACAATTGAAACTGGAGTTGTTTAGTTGAGAGATTTGTATCCCGATTCGAATTATAATTCGTGATTCGTTAAAATATTTTTTCTCACAAAAAATACACGTAAATTAAAAATAATTATAATCTCATGATTTTAATTCATGAACCAAATGTAATGTAATTAGGGAGGCACGACAGATATAGTTGTAGAATTTATTTATGCATATGCAAATTTTATCTAGTGTAGCAATAAGCTTTTTCACCGACTTTAATTTGTTTGTCAACTAAGGGTCCGTTTAATTTACTGATTCGAGTTTGTAATTTGAGTTAAGATGTGATTTTATGCGATAATTTTTTACTGTAGTAAAAAAATTAAATATGACTATTTCTAAAAATTTTTTACTGTAATAAAACTCAAATTTTAAATACGAATCGGTGAAATGAACATGGTCTAAATTTTCTAAACTTTACGAAACTAAAGAACAAAAAAAAAACAAAAGAGAGTACGTAAACGCGACTTTATAGTGACAATTCAGGGTCACATGATTGTATTTGTGAGCATTGAAGGATAAAACAGAGTTACGTAATTTGGATTGCTTTTTGTGCGTTCGGTAGAGGCCAAAAAAAGAGGAGAGGAGTGCTTCTCCCGAAGAAGGGTAAACCCAGTTGTCTTTTGCAAGCCAGCTGTACACAGTCAGTACATACACCGACTCCGCTTTACCTCGTTATCACATCATTTCTCTCTGCCCCACTTTATTCGTTTACTGTTTCTCTTTTTTATTTTATCTTTTTGTCCTTATTTCCAAAGAATATTAAATTAAATTATATCACAAAACATCACGGGTATCATACTATAATGTAACTCCTCCTTATTAACAGTGTTTTTTCTTAATTTTTCCACAATTCAAACGTTTTGTATAGTTTTTTCCTGTTAAGTTTCGGTTTAAATTTTCTACAGTACTTTCTTATATGCTTAAACATAAAATTAAATTTTTAAAAAATAGAAATAAAGGATTTGATTTAAACCCGCAAAATTCCAAAAGCTCGTATTTTTAATTTAATTCGTTTAGGAAACGAGCGTTTTTATTATAAATTAAAATCAAACGAAAGTAATATTATATTATAGTTTTATAAGCATGAGAGTGGACACGTGGAGGAAGATGGAGGTGACGCCGCCGACAAATACAAGTGAAGTAGAGTAGAGTAAAATAAAGTAAAGGAAATGAGGATAACGTCAACAAGATTGACAAGTCCGAGAGGAGAGGACTGAGGAGAGTGGGGTCCATTGAAGTTTGAAGTAGAATAAGACGTGCGTGTGTGTCTCAAACTCTGGATACAGCTAAGCTACCTGTCTCACTCTCAATCTCCACTCGTGCACTTCTAGACGCTTCTCCTCGTTTTCTCCCCGGGGCCCCACTCTCACCCGTTTTGCATTTTGACACGCTGTCATTCGTTTGGCCTTTTCTCCCCTGGGCCCCACTCTCACCCGTTTTGCATTTTGACACGCTGTCATTCTTTTTTCTTTTCATTTTTTATTTATATATATGTTATACAAGATCTGACTGCCTCTAATCCGCATCGTACATTCAATTATCATAACAAAAATATTCACATAATATATATATATATATATATATATATATATATATTACAGGCAGCAATATGTAAGGCTCTCCGCAGTTTGTTGGGTTATGGCATGCATGCTGATATGGGGTGAGATGCCATTTTTAAAACTTAATGCTCAATAATTCTGCCACGTCAAAAAAGACAAAGCCTTTTTGTCCACGAAGAAACAGCAAAAAACAATGACGAATAAAAATGCCCTGTAGAAGAGAAGACGCAATTTTGAATTTCAAATCTGCATGATTTGTAGCTGGTCCATTATGTTGCATCTCTTTGTTTTATTCATGAGCAACCAATCATTTCTCCTTTTGTTTTCCATCCAAAAATAATGCATACAATCAAATTAGGACGTCAGTGACACGTAAATTTTAAGAAACTTCAGAGTTCCATCTTGATAATAAACTTGCTCATGTTAACGACACGCTAGCTTATTCAGTTTATGGCGTGAGAAAATATTTTCAGCTACGGCGCAATAATCTAAAATCAATAGATTGATATAGATAATTAAAATTTTCTACTATTGCGACACAACACAATTATACTTATTTCTATTGAATTTGGGCACAATTCTGATTTTACAAATATGTAAAAAAGATTATTCAAGTTTCATAAAAAAATAAGCGCCACCACTAAACTATATTTATCTCTGTCAGTCCACTTGTTTGCAAATGATTACTATAAACTAATAACAATTAAGAATGTATTTTTGTTTTCCCTTCAAAGGAAAAAAAAAAGAATGTCTTTTGTTTTAAAGTAAAATGACAGCCAAGATAATAGCCTATAACGATAATATAGTCTCATAAGATTAGTACAAGTCTAATATTATAACAATATTGGGAATATTATCTTTCATGTAGATTTTCCAACCGTTAGCTAGCGTATAATCTAAAACTCAGTAGTTCTAGACTATATGGAGTCATCTTAGGACGCAGAAAACGATGCTCATTCATGCTACATTAGCTTTAATGGGTTTGTTTAGCAGCGTCTTACTGCTTTATATGACTATATTTTAATAATCTATCTTGTGGAATTCTTGACTTTTAAGATTTCAGCAAAAGATATGGGAAAAGACTACAGAACCAAGATGAGTACATTGAATAGAAAACCCGACCAAATCTTGCGTTGATCAAGATTTGTTTTCGCTGTAAGAAGCTTGTAAACTTTAATGTTCATGTTCATGTTCATTTCATGCCTGCGCAATTCGACTTATTAATATATATATATATATATATATATATATATGGGTATATATAGTCTCGGTCCAAATAAAGTCTGCGCTCGTTGAAGGCCCAAGACATTGTGTATACATGTGTTGTTTGACCAAAAAGAAACGTGTAAACTTGGGTTATGTCCTTATTTTGGATTCCTTGGCGCTCAAACGGTCGAAAATGCAAGCAAAGCATCGCTTTGATTCCTCATCCCTCCCAACAATATTGCTTTATACCTTTTTGCTTGTTTCCATTAATTGTTTCTATCTTGATCTCCCATTGTTTTCACATTTGGTTCCTCTCCCATTATTTCCACCCCTTTGCCTTGCATCATAACATGTTTTCTCATTGACCTCATTTGTTTTTTGTTTTTTATTTTTATTTTTTTCCCCTTCACATTGAAAGGTAACAATATTAGATTGAGTTATACATATTTGATTGATAAAATAAATTGAGTAACTTTGGTTTGTATGACACAATTACCTCAAGGTGAGGGAAATTGATCATCGTAATTTTATCTTATTACAGAAAGTGCATAAATATATTCCTCAGGCACACAAATTTTGTTGCTCACACTCACACATGCATCACTCAAAGGACGCCGATTCTAGAATAGTGATATCAAGAGGTGGTGACGGCGAAGAAGAAGAATCCTTTTCAAGTAGTACTTGGCAGAAACCTCAAAAGACCACAAAGAGAACCAAGACAATTCATCCACCTATTGAATGCCATTGGCAACTGCCCCCTATAAAGGAACCAAAACGCTCTTCTTCCGGGGCCTTCAAATCGGTGTTGTCGTACCCTCTCAAGTTGGGCGAGTCGTTGAAGAAAATAGGGAGGACTAAGAGCATGCAAGTAGTGCTAGAGGGAACTCATGATCCCAAGGATGAATCCGTCGTTCAATCTTTCCGCGAAATGCTTCTCCTCGAGGTCCAAGTTCCGCCCAAGCACAATGATTATCATACCCTTTTGCGGTACGTGATTTATTAGTACTACTTTCATGCTACCATTTTCACATACATGAAGCAAAGCTTCTATGCTAATTCTTTCTTCATGAATCTTACGTACATGTCATGTTTTGAATGTTAAGTGGCTTGGAAATTGTATATTATGGTGTTATATGATCTCTCTTTTGTTTTCTTTTTGGTGGCTTAATTATAGGTTTCTCCGAATGAGGGACTTTGATATTGCTAAAGCAAAAGAGATGTTCTTGAATTACCTCAAGTGGAGGGAAGACTATGGGGTTGATAAAATTCCAAAGGTGACTTTCTTTTTTTTTTTTTTCCATTATATGTTTTTGCGTTTTGAACAAGTTTCTTCCTTTTTGAATATCAAGATAGGACTAAAGCAATGAAGAGAAGATTAACATGACTCATGCGCAAGAATGACATACAAATCGAAAAAAAAAAAAGATTGTCCTATATTCTAATGATGTCGAAGCTCTGTTGCATTTCTCCATTGAATATATTGTTGGACAATTATGAATAATACAGGAATTTATGTTTGAGGAGCACGAAAGGGTGAAGAGATGCTATCCTCATGGTTATCATGGAGTGGATCGATATGGCAGACCGCTGTACATCGAAAGGATCGGGTTGCTAGATCTTAATGAACTCCTGAAAGTAACAACGGTTGACAGATTTGTCAAGCACCACGTTTCAGAACAAGAAAAAACCTTAAACTTGAGATACCCGGCATGTTCGATTGCGGCCAAGAAGCATGTAGCTTCCACAACAAGTATTCTTGATGTGCAGGGAGTGGTATTTAATTAATTAGCAAAGCATCCTAATTATAGTGTATTTTCTTGTTATTAACGATCTAATTCATGAGCTTTTATTAACATTGATCGTCATGAATTGTTTATTATGAGCTTGGCAACTACTTTTTTGTTTGTTTAGGGATTGGCTAATTTCTCAAGGCCTGCAAGATCTATCTTTATGGAAATTCAGAAGATTGACAGCAATTACTACCCAGAGGTACCGTGTGACACATAATTACAATTATTGGCAATGTTATGTCAGGAGCGGGAGAATATTAATTATGCATATGTATATTTACATGAATATATGGAATATTGAGCATTATATATATACATATGATTCTTTCAGACTTTGCATCGGCTGTTTATTGTGAATGCGGGTTCTGGGTTTAGAATGCTGTGGAAAGCAATAAAGGCTTTTATGGACGCGCGTACTTTAGCCAAGATTCACGTAATTAAGCAATTTCTTCTCATCTATATAACAGTAAATCTGTAGTATTAATTTGTTTGTCGTTTAAAATCTAATAGTGGATAAATTGGAAATGCGTGCATTGTTTCTTTCTCTTTCAACTTTCAGGTGTCGGGATACAACTACATTAATGACCTGCTTGAAGTTATCGATATCAGGTACCATTTCATGCTAAGTGCTCTAGTATGTGATTTTCTGTTTCCTATCAATGAATTTGCAATAATATATATATATATATATAAATATATATGTTAGATATTAATAAAATCGAGAATTCTTTGATCATAGGATATGAAAAATACCATATACTAATATTATATTTGTAATTGATGTTAGTTTAATGCAGGTTCTGCTAATTTTGCTTACTTTATTTTTAATTTCTATTATAATTTTGATGTTATCTGATATCCATCACATAATAATATTAAGTTGATACCTTATCATAAATTCTCCAAAAGTTTTTAGTATATCAAGTAGTGCAAACTAAGACTATATACGTTGTTTTGGCAGTAATTTGCCAACCTTTCTGGGTGGAAATTGCACATGTTCTGACCATGGTGGATGCTTGTTAAGCGACAAAGGACCCTGGAACAATCCTGAAATTGCAGAAATTGTTCAGGTCAACTTCTAGTTTATTTATATATTCTGGCACCGTGTTTTCTGATATTAATAGACTCGACGTGGACGTTTCATCTATGTGTTACAGGCAATCTCGACAAATGATGAGGACAACAACGGCGACGAAGATGGCAAAATGGCTTCAGAAGCTGCCATTGTGCGCAATATGGTAAATCACAAATTATACATAGGCTTAGTTTGGGATTGTTGTCCGTTTAAAAGAAATGCTACTTGTAAAGCTACAGGAAGAAATAGAAGTTAAAAGTGAAAAGATTTAACTTTTAACTGTAAAAGGATATTGGTGTTTTTATATTTTTATTAAACAGACTAATTACATAAAACTTCCATTCTAAAGTAATAAGAAATCAGCCCATAATATAGCTTGCAGAGTACTGTCCTTGTGCTTCGTTGCAGTAAATATAAATTGTCTTGTTTTTCTTATGCTATCTCAAGTTTATTCTTAATTTGGTTAAAAGGCTGACAAAGAAAAAAACTAAGTTAATATTTCTTTTAAATCTAAAGAGTATAGTGATCTCCATAAAAGTTAATACAATTTCAACGTGATTCAGTATTTTTTTTTTTTTTTTTTGGAACTGAGAATATATACGCTGGCATGACAGAAAATCCAGGCGTTGGAAGCAGCACTATCAGACGCCAAAACAGTAAGTTCGACAAATAACAATTTGTTAGAATTTAATTGAACATCATTTGAATACATGTTTAATTATTTTATATGGCAGAAAATCGAGGCATTGGAGGCTATACTTGAAGAAACCAAAAGCGTAAGTGGCCGAAACATTATCACTAAATTTAAATGTTTCTCTTATAATGTGGGCGTTCTCAAATTTGTTATTTTCCTTCTCAGGCCTTGGAAGGACTTGCGTTGCATATTCAACAGCTGAGGACCTTTTAGGGAGTTATTAAATGCCATCTTGTTGTTATTTCCACCTTTTTCTTTTTCTTTCAATAAGTCACTATAAATATTGTCCATATGCCTGTATTGATGTTACATATCAAAATGAAAGCTAAAGAAAATTATACGAGTAGTAAGATTCTTTTTGGCCTCATTGGGTAATGGAAAAAAGCACATTTTACAACTAATATGTAGCTTTCCAAAATTCCTTTAAAGAAGTTATCCAGTCTACTAGACAAATGGATCTAATAATCTCAACTTTACAGAGAGAGCAAAGAAAGGAGCTTTAAGTGTGGGGAAAGCCCATGAGTGGAGAGAGCAGACTCATATCATTAGTCCCAAATTTTGAAGTTTTTGATCATTGATCAACATCATATCTTTACAATAATACACATCAGTGCTTTGGATGAACCACAATAATTACCACTTTGGTAGCACTGTAACACATAAGAGTATCACCCCCAAAGACTTGGGAATCATTATTAATTATGTGTTTTTTTCTGCAAAAGAGGCGATGATGTGATTCTTCTTTGGCTTGCTTAAGAAGAATAAGATAGTACAAACAAAGACCAAATCCCATTGCAACCAGACAGAGAAACGCCAATAATTGTTGTTGCAGTAGTAGCGGACAAATCTAACTGCTTAAATTCGAAACAAGTAAAGCAGCTCTCATTCACAATTGGTCATAAATTCTTTCAATAGTGTCGTCCAAAATGCATGCTCATAATGCTTTGAGGATAAGTTTGGCAGCTCAAAGATAAGAGGTAACTTCGATAGGGCATATATGCAAATAATTACAAGCATTCAATTGGGGAGTAGAGTAGAGTAGCATAGCAATGATTGGGATTGGCAAATGGGTTTGGCAGATTTAGTTGAAATTTTGGGCCACTTCTGCTATTGCTCAATAAATAGTTGTATGGCCATTTTGACACTATGATGAATGATGATGGTAATGGGAGTTTTATGCTTTGTGGACAAGTATTAGGGTCAGCAAAACTGTTACATTGGATATCATCCTTTTAAAGCAAAAGGTTTGAACTTTGAATTGAAGCTCTCCACTGCAGAGTGATCTCGTCCCTATCATATAGGATTAGGTACATACTAATAAGGAAAGTTGACGATCTCTATATTGGACAAGCTGTACATATTTTATTCATTCAATATTTAAGATATTTGTATAGCTGTAATATTATTTCTATATTTGTAAACAATATGTTGTATATATTTTGTACCTTTCCTATCAATGAATACGTTAGAAAAATCATTCATATAATTTCTTTATGTTCCTATTCTCTCTAATGGTATCAGAGCACTAACTCTTATTGAGCTCATTCTCTCTTTCGTCTATCCAAATGGCCGAATCTCACAGTACTCCAATAGTGTCCACTACACCTACCCCATCCAACTCCACAATGTCTCTCTTAAAAATCCCAACATCACTATTCTTCAACCTTTAGACAATTCCACATCTCTATTTGCTATTAACTCAGCAACTCAAATGCCGCTCAAACTTACGTCAACTAATTATACCTCTTGGATACGATCTTATGGGCTTTGTTGATGGAACACGCCCTTGCCCACCGGCCATGACTACAGACAATCGGCCCAATCCGGAGTATTTGCTATGGACTCGCCAAGACAAACTCATCCTTCATGCAGTTGCTGGTTCTCTCACTCCGACTCTCATTCCGTTCATTGCCTCTGCAAAGACTTCACATGAAGCATGGACAACTTTGGTGAATACTTATGCCAAACCATCTCGTGGTCGCATCACTAAGCTTAAAGAAAATTTACGCATCATTGTCAAGGATTCTCTATCAATCACCGAATATATGCAGACAATCAAAAGCATCACCGATGAACTCGCCATGCTAGGTGCATCCATCCATGCTGACGACCTCACTCTCAAAGTTCTTGGCGGACTCAATGACCAGTACACCAATATCTTAGATGCCGTTCGCGTTCGTGAAAATTGCAATGATGACATCCTAATTGGTGATGGTACTGGTCTCTCCATCACTCATACCGGCTCTACCACCTTACCCTCTCCATCTCACTCTTTTAACTTACCTAATGTTCTATGTGTTCCCCATATAAAAAAAAAAAAATTGATCTTAGTTTCTAAATTTTGTGCTTCCAATAATGCTTCTATTGAATTCTCACTTACTTGTTTTTATGAGAAGGATCGTCGATCAGGGACAATACTTCTGCAAGGAATAACTAAAGATGACGTTTATGAGTGGCCATCTCAAATCTATCAAAAAATGCCATTATTTGCCATCTCAACTGTCAAAGCTCCAGTCTTGGCCATCCATCACTTCAACTTTTACGTCATTTACTGTCTACCAATCGTCTAGGATTGTCATCTACCTTGTCGTCTAAATTTTCTTGTGATTCGTGCCTATGTAATAAGAGCCATAAATTACCGTTTTTTGAATCTTCCCTTGTTATCAATGCACCTCTTGAAATTATTTATTCGGATGTTTGTAGTTCACCAATTTATTCACAAGACAGTTTCAAGTATTATGTAATTTTTGTTTGATCATCTCACTCGCTATATTTGGTTTTATCCCTTCAAATGCAAATCAGATCTATATGACGTGTTTGTTCGTTTTAAAGGCATCATTGAAAAAATTTTCAACCGACCCATTATCACACTCTACTGAGATAATGAAGGTGAATATCAAGCATTAAAATCATTTTTATCAATAAATGGAATTTCACATCTCACAACGCCGCCTCATACTCCTGAACATAATAGATTCTTAGAACGACGACATCGTCATATCGTTAAAATTGGTCTCACACTCCTGCACCATGCGTTCGTTCCCCTTCATTTTTTGAACATGCTTTCACTACTGCTGTCTATCCCATCAATCGCATGCCCAAAGTCAACTTATCCATGTTGTCATCTTACGAAAAGCTTTTCGGTCAACCACCAAATCTCACAAAATTGCATGTCTTTGTTGTTTGTGTTATCCATAGTTCTGTCCCTGCACCTCTAGCAAACTTGAAACACGGTCCCAACCATGTCTTTTTTGGTTACTCTAACTGAAAGTGCTTATCTCTGTTATAATTTAAACTCTCACAAAATGTTTGTTTCTCGACACGTTATTTTTGTAGAAGATGTTTTTCCATTTCAAACCCATTCTTCAAATCCTCCTCGCCCTACTTCTGAATCTTTCGAGCCTTGGTCACCTTCCTTTTTAATTCCTCCACATATATCTCTCCCGTTCCCAAAATCTGTTGCTCAAAAGTCCTCAAATTACGATTCAACCGCATCACAGCAAAATTTGGACAGTCCAAATTAATCTAACCGCTTCATCTTTCTAATCATTGCCAAATTGCACTACCATTTCTTTGTCACAAAATCAGTTCCCATTAAATCTCACTCATTCCATTAATAACTCTGTCTTTTTCTTCTCCACATAATGCTCTCTCTCAGGCAAATAATGGTGACAATAAAGAAAATCACGTAGAATCCACTCACACAATGTCAACTTCTCTTGATCCTATGTAAGGTAAGCCATCCTACGATGATTCTTCCACACCTCTCTCACCTACCAAATATATTCCCATCATTACTGTTTCATCTCTAAAAAAATCCGTCCCATACACCAATTTCCATGCATCCACGCTACCTAACCAAAGTCTTAACCTTCCACCCACGACCACCAAATGATCACCCCATACAAACACAAGCAAAAAATAAAATTTTTAAGCCTAACCCAAAATACTCCTTACACGTCACCACCAACAATTCCCTTAGCCTAGAACCCACATGCCTCACCCAAGCTCTTAAACACCCACAATGATGCCAAGCTATGTCAGATGAGTTCAATGCCTTACTCCGCAACGAAACATGGGAACTTGTTCTGCCTAACAATTCTCAAAATGTTGTTAGGTGTAAACGGGTTTTCCAAATTAAACTGATGGCTCGATTGAACGTTACAAGATTCGTCTCGTTGCTAAAGGATTTCATCAACGTTCTGACATTGACTATAATGAAACTTTTAGCCAGGTCATCAAGCCTACAATTGTTCGTCTAATTCTAAGCATTATAATCTCTTCTCGTTGGCCACTTGGACAACTTGATGTTAACAACGCATTTTTTCATGGCCATCTCAAGGAGGATGTTTTTATGCATCAACCACCGGGCTTTGTTGACAAAACTCATCCCACTCATGTGTGTCTCCTCCGCAAGGCTATTTATGGCCATAAATAGGCGCCGGGGGCTTGGTATCAAGAACTAAAGCAATTCTTGAACATGTTGGGTTTGTTAATTCAAAATCTGACACATCTCTGTTTATTTTCAAACATATGTCTTTTACTTTGTTTATTTTGGTGTATGTAGATATTATCATCACAAGAAATGATGTCAATCTTCTCCAACGTGTGATTAATCAAATGGCAGCCCGTTTTTCAATCAAAGATCTTGGTACATCATCATGTTTCCTGGGTGTTGAGGTGCTTCCAACAAATGGTGGCATGATTCTCTCTCAACAAAAATACATCCAAGATCTTCTCTACAATACCAAAATGCTTGATGCCAAACATGTCAATACACCTATGTCCCCCAGTCATGTCACTACGCTAACTAATGGCACATCTTTCACTGATGCTACTCAATACATATCTGTTGTTGGTGCCTTACAATATCTATCACTCACACGCTCGATATCACTTTCGCTATCAACAAAAGGTCTCATGGGTTGTTTTTACAACATGACTCACCTCTCTCTCTACATGCTTTTTCTAATGCCGACTGGACTGGGAATATAGATGATCGCACGTCTACTAGTGCCTATATTGTGTTTCATGGGTCTAATGCCGTCTCTTGGAGTTCAAAAAAGCAACGTTCCGTTGCAAGGTCTTCCATAGAGGCCCGAGTATCGAGCCGTTGCTTCTGCCGCAGCAGAGGTCACTTGGGTTTCAAAGTCTTTTACATGAACTTGGCACTATGCTTAAGTCTACGCCAACAATTTACTATGCTTAAGTCTACGCCAACGATTTGCGCAAACCTAAATTTTCCACTCCCGCATGAAATACATTGTTATTAATTTCCATTTTGTTCGTGACATGGTTCAAAATGGTGATTTACGTGTCTCCGATGTGCCTTCCGAAGACCAACTTGTAGATGCCTTAACGAAGCCACTTTCACGCCAACAA